TTCCAGCAGGCTCGTGTTTTTATGTTTTGTTTTGGGTTTTTTTGTCATCTCAACGAACCAGTGTTTTATTTCAAACCGGAATAAGACAAGCAGTTTTAATTAACTTTGTACTCTGTGTCTTTCTCGTCGAACTACCTAAGGTATAAGGGAAGTTTTGTTCGGCGACTTTTTAAATAAACACCGTTTTTCATTGGAATGTAATAGAAGGTGGAAAATCGGCGCTCTGTGGATATTTTTTTGAAAAGTAATAAGTTTAAAATAATGTTTAACTACCCGTCAGTTTTTGGAGTATCGCACGCAATATCTCAGGGATAGAGAAACTGAAACATTTTAAACAACATCATTGGGTTCACCTTTAGTTTTGTCCAATTTCAAGAAAACTCGACTTAAACATTGGCCGAGAATAAACTCTAAAGTTCAGTAAACTTGAGGAAACAGCAGGCGACAAAAGTCAACTTATCAATTTTCCTAAAGTATTTTTTGAATTTCCGTCGGAAGAAGTCAAACTGACTCTCCAGGGCCCAGTCGTGAAAAAAGAGGATAACCGTATCCAGCGGATAGGTGATGGAAAAAACCGGCACAACGCTCTCCAGTGGATCGATTTATCCAGTGGGGAGCGTTATCCAATCTTGGAACAGCCGCAAGAACACAGAATTTCAAAAGTTTGAATTTCGGAATACTCTCGATTTTACATAATATAAAATGCTATTGGCAGGTGGTTTTCTTTTAGTCTCAATTTATTTGAAGCAAATGTTCATCACCTTTGTTTTAAATTCATTTTCAGACATAAATTGCCATACTCAAAAAAGAAAAAGAAGGAAACTTAACTCGATATTACGCTCGCAAACGAATGAAAATAAAATGCGGCAGCTGCAATATTATTTTCGTTTTTAGTTCAATTGCACTGTTGGTATTCCTCCATACGAGTTGGGCTTTTAAGTTTATTGAAGACGCTAAGACAGTCAAAGACATTTACTCAAACAGAACTGGTTGGAGTGCGATCGTCGGAAGAACTTATCCAAAACAGCAATGACGACAATGAGTGCAAAGCTGATATGGCTGGCTCTGTATCACTTCTACATGACAATGAGTGGAGGTATCGATATATAGTAAAATTAACTTATTTCATAGGGGACACAATTTAAATGCGCTCTAGTTTTTGCTACGGCGTACCTTTATACGTAAGGCGCCAAAAGTGACACGGCAATTTTTAGTGAGATTCTTGCTAATTCCATATGTTGTCAGTTATTGCTGCCGTTTGCAATTGCATGACAGAGAGATAGTGTTTCTTAAAAAAAGCTGCAGCTGGTATTGGCCTGACGTCAGTAGAAAATTTCGACCGAGGAAGAATCGAAAACGAGAAACTGCGGTCATTTAAAAAGCCCCAACAGAATGAATGCAACACGAACTTCCTTCGCTGTTTAAGATGACTCAGTCCACGTAATTCAGTTCTAATGAAAGTTAAGAAGTCGGTTGTCTCATCTATTTTATTAGGCAAAAAAAAAACAAAACATAGTCTCAATTTGATTACGACAAGCGTTCCTTAGAGCCGCCACAAGTATCACCACGGAATTGATCAAAATTTCACACGACAAACAAGGGAAACTTCCATAGCAAAGTACATTTCACTTTAATGATACTGAGAGTGCTTAATTTTTCTGACGGTTCCGAACTTGAAATCTCCTGCGGCACTGAGGGTTCGATTCGATCTGAGGAGACCTCTGCCAGAAAGTGCAGAATTTGATGAGTTCTCATAACAAATGAGTGCAAAAGCCAAAGGAAAAATGCAAAAAAGTAACGGAACTTGGAAAACTGCGGAAAGATCCAAATTTAGGAAAACACTCGAATTTCCAACGTTTGATTTTTGCGGAGGGCAAAGGAGAAATACAGAACTTTTAAACGTGCGTAGATCGACAGTTGTTCTCAAGAAATCGTCTATTCGAGTAAACGCCTGGAACGTCAGCTTTAGAAACCCATTACGGTGGCAAATTTACAGTATCTGCTTAGTTGATACGACCAAATTATTTTCTAACATTAAGTATAGCTTGTTTTCGTATTTTCTGCATTGCTATCTTACTCTCCCTCGAAAGGTAGGAGTACTGAAAACATACACTGACACCTTGTTACGTTCATCCAGCTTGTAAATAAAAAACAAACAAAGCAAAATAAATCTAAAAAAGGTGCTTTCTGTTCGACCATTGGAATACTTTCTCCCCCTTCGGCGTTGAATGTCGAACAATTTTAAAAAAAGGTACATGGTGGCCCGATGACATAGTGTGAAAAATCTTAGTCGCTAACAGACTACCTTAGTTGCCTTATTTACCGATCGAAAGTTCATTTCTTAGCAGCTGAAGAAGAATGCAGACAACTGTTTTATTCCGAACCAGTGAAAGACAAGGTTCTCCTCAATCATGTTATAATAAGAATAGATATAGCGATAGAAGATGTCTGCAGCATCCGATGTTTCCTTGAGCCCAATTGCTTGTCTTATAATGTTGGACTGCTGGAACAAAGCAACCAATACCTGTGTATGATCAGCGACTCCAATGACGTTCTACATCCAGGAGATTTGGTTCAGCGGATAGGATTTACCTACCATAGAACCAAGGTCTGTTCGTCCGTGATCTAGGGACTAGGGAGTCAACTGGAATGTTTCTTTTTATGTTACTTTGAAAAACAAAGTAGGTTCCGTTATAAGTGGACATCCTCGCGTCATAAAAAAAGTGTCTTACCAAAGCTAGCTGCCACTCGAAGCGTAAGCAATTGYTGGAGAGCTCACCACCTAAGTGGTGTTCAGAAATGTAGCCTTGAGTGTAATACAGCAACTCAAAAACTAAATTTTGCCATCTAGATAAACTCATTCTCGGATCATTGTAAAGAAATTTATCACTTTAAGGCACACCGTACCAGTTATGGTGCACAAATCTGGCATCTATAAACTACCACTCGTTAATGTTACGTCGAACCAGTGTCTTTAACTACAGAAAAGCACGCTTACAGAGATGTTGTGCTGCACCCAAGGTTATGGCACCGTTGACCAAAAAGACGATCTTTGAGGGAATTTCGGTAGCATCACGTTATCATTTACCTTTTTCCCCCCAGAGGCTCTGATACATTCTTATGATCCCCCTCCCTCATTTACAGTTAATTACCAGCCACTTTTCTATATAGTACCCCCCTCTTATACTCTTTTGTCGACGACCAATCCTTCACCCCCCTTGTGCCTGGCGGTAGATAGTGACTGGTCTGTTAAAGAAGGGTTCTTTGAGAACATTCTTTTTCTTGTATCGTCAGAGTCCATGCAACACTGATCCTTGCAGGAAGAATATGACTTGCCAACCGGGCTACACTAGCAAAGGATACCGTTGTAGGAAAAACATCACGTCGATGTCATTAAACTCCAACAAACCAGCTGCCAAAGAACGTGCGTATACTTCTCTGCTTGGGTCGAAC